GCTACAATGTGTAAGAACAATTACACCACGATGCCTTGATATAAGCTTGATTCTTTTAGAATACAAGCGGAAACATATTCTGTTATAGTATTCTAAAATAAAACTATCGAAAAATACACAATCAATTTTGTATGAATAAAGACTCGAACACATAAACTTAACTTTGCCGTAAACCGCAAAACAAAACTACGATGCCTTCTATATGTAAAGAAGGTTACATTTTTAACATATGAATGGTGAGAGGGAACATCGTATTTTTTGTTGATACATTTTTGGATGTTTATAAAGTGTTTTATTTTTTGTCATTTGATGAACTAGAATCATGGTTTTAAATAAATTCTTTATTTTTGAACATATTAGTATAGTGAAATAGAAACAACTAGTAATTACTTGATTACCATGAATAAGATATTGTTCAATTTAGTGAAAGATGACAGCCAACTGTGTTTTCGGTGTTGTCACTGTTAGTACGTTCTACTGTCATATGGACTATTAGTTGATTAGATATTGATTCTTCTTCAATTGAGACTAAAATGCATCCGTTCTTCTTCGAATAGAAAATCAAAATCAAATTATCTATCTATCATGTTGTAATTAATGAAATCTTGACAGTTTGAACATCCGAATAAAAATTAAGAAAAAGAGAAAGTGACGAAAATAAAAAGACACTCGGTTTTTTTGCTTTATGCAAATGAACAGCCATCCGCATCACAGGATTCCTTCTTCTTCTTTTTTTTTCGTCATCAACATAGCATTGATTTTGACGTTTATATGAAAGCTCTTCTCGATCATGTAAGGAGACTTATGTCTCATGTTCTACGTGCCTACATGATGAAATTTAATACAGATCGTTCTTTACATAGACAAGAGAGTTAATATATGGTCAATATTATTCTAAGAATAGTGTACATGTCTATCAACCATTAGTAAGCGTAAACAAATTTTATTTAGATCTCAACACCTTTTTTTTAAATGTTTAACGATCACCTATTAGCAATTTGTATATCCGGTGCAAAAACATTAAAAATTTTTATTTCATATTGACGAAGTTCTGATATTTGAAAAGATTGTACGACATCATATCAATAAGAGTATTATTCAATGGATAATCCTAAATCATTGTCTCACTTTTTATTTAGTTTACGTCTCTTAGTACAATTATTTTTTTATTAAAAAGATCAATTTAATATGTAAAAAGACTAATTAAATCAGTATCAATGGTATTTAATCTTTTATGAATTTATTTTACTAGAATCGGAACATCAAAGTTTAATAGAATCGTTCAAGTGTTTAGTCAACATTTTTCCTATGAATTTAATCCATTAGATATTTGAAAGTTTAATTATTATATATTCTTGAATTGATGTGAGCGAACGGAACAGAAAACAAAAAAAAATGTTCCGATCTACAGTATATTAATTAAAAAATCTTGCAAGAAAATAAATTAAAAAAACTTTAATTTGATATTATTAAATAGAGAGATTTTTATGTATTGTAGAAGGGTACCATTTTGTTATTCTTGTACCAACGTTTTCAACAGAACACATCTTCCCCAAAAAAATTTGATGATACCTTTGATCGTCATTCTATTCTCTATTTTACCATAATTTTCAATGTTACAGCAAAATTTTGTTTACACAAGTAAAAAAAATCGAAAATGAAGAATAAAAATGATTCGTTCAATGTGAAGTACTCGTTATTCTTCATCTGTTTTTCACGTAAGTATGAAATCTACCGATACAGATGATAATTGCATTGAAAATTTCATTTTTAATTCCTAAATATAGTTCTAACTCATCAAGTTCTCCCATATTTCAAATGAAATTCAAAATCAATAGAAGAAGAAAAACTCCCATTTCTTTTCTTCTTCTAGTTGAAAATTTCCGCTTTCATCAACGATTGATTATTAAGTGCACAAGTAAAATATTTAATCATCACCATATTTTCTCTCTTATTTTCAATCCATATTTCACCTTACATATTTTTTTTAAAAAGTAAAAAAGAAAAGAAGGAGTGAGAAACATCTATTTGATAGATTCAATGAACTTTTTCTTTTTCTTCTCTCAACATCCGCTTCCAACTCATTAAATTCATTGTATTTGTTCACCAGATCAAATCGTTTAAAACGAATATACATCGGGGTCTCTAATAAGCAATTATCGTTATTAAAAAAAAAAACGAAAATACTTTCTTTTTTTTTTTTTTAACGATGAAGCAAAAAAAGATTAAGGTGAATTTCCCTTTAGAAGAAAAAGAAATTGAACATAGAGGACTAATACAAAAACGTGGAAGAAGAAATAAAAAAAAGTCTTAATTTTGATTATGATGGGACGAGAAAGAAGAGAAAAAGAAAAAAAAAATATCCATTAGTTATTATTTGTAAATTGAAAAAGAAATATATAATCGAAAAATCCTATCTTTTTCTAACAATAGAGCATCCGTTTTAGTTAGATACTAATGCTGTCTCTCTTTATTCCAACCATTTATGTCTTATAAATTATTCATAGAAATTTAAAATCTCTTTTAGTAGTTTAGATTCACATCTTCATCTATAATTCATCTAATTTAAGTACATCTTAGACATATTCATCTAATAGTTTTTTCAATTATTTAGGTGAAATAAAAATAATTTTTTTATTTATTTCTTTTAATATCCTACCTATAGATTTAATTATTATTTTTTTTTTTCTATTTAAATTTATTTTTTATTGTGACATAGAATTGATGATAAGTTTTTTTTAAACGAACAAAAGAAAAATACGCACCGGGTGATTTTTAAAATAAGTCGGCAAATCAGTGAAACACTCTACATGGGGTAAACATATTTGAGAAATTCGACTGACACATGTTCTATCAAACGAATAAATCATAGTATATCTCAACAAACAAAAAAAAAACGAGTAAATGACTCGTATGTTACATGTGTGTGAACTTGACAATGTCAAAAATATCTGAAAAATACTGAATAGAAATTGTTAACGTCATCTCATTCAATTCTTAAATTTGTAAATAGGCAAGGTTTAACAATATTCGTATGATGAAATTTATCCATTTCCTTCTTAAATATTTTATCAAAATTTTTTTTTATTTTGTTTGACTGAATCCTAATCGGACTAAGAATAAAACAGTAAGATAACAAATTTTTCTCTCTTTTTCTAACCATATTATCGATAATAATAATAAAAAAAAACAAGAAAAAACTTCGTAGTTACTATAAAACTGAGCATATAGTTAATCGGGTCATGGTTATCATCATTATCTCATTTTTCCTTTTCTCCATACTACTGTCATATCGATTATTTGAGCAGCATTTGACATAGTCGAATCAATCAAATAATGTTTGTACTCATTACAAGTACGTCAGTGAAGCGAACGAACATTCACTATGACGATGGTGATGATGACGGTGATGTTGATAATGATGATAAGAAAACAACAAACTACAAATCATGAATGAAATACTTTCGATTAATCAAAGCATGTGAAATTCGAACTAAACAACGGTTTTTGTGTTGTTTTTTTTGACTAATCCAAAACAGTGTTTTTATGTCCATTATTTTCTGCTGCTACTTTCTGACATAGCACTTATACTTGTGTGTGTGTGTGTGTATGTGTGTGTGTGAATCTCATCGTATAAATCATAAATCGTTTCAAATATATTTTCAGAAATTCTAATCTCAGAATTTTTTGTTTTAAATTTAAATATTTTAGCTTCTTTTCTCTATTTCGTACAACAAACTTACCTGTAGCACATATATAGCGTATATAGTATTGATAATATCCACAGTTAATATTTTAATCCTTAGTTAACTATTAGAGGCTTATAACAAGCATACAATAAAAGTAAAATATTATCTTAAATACCTTGTTATACACATATTGACGGATAATGAACATTTTTCTTTTTGCTCTTCACTGATAACAATCATCAAATACAAAGTAAAAAAAGGTAGAAAAACTATATCATCATAAAATATTGTTTAAAATACTATCATGACACTACTATGTACATAATATCTCATCCGCATGTTCATATTATTGTAAAAAGCATGTATGTGTGGTTTACTCTAAAGAAAAATTCATCGTATAGATTAAATTTCTAATCAGTCGTCAGGTAATCGAAAAGCTACAACTTTTCTATATCAAGAACAAAAATTTTGTACAACTTTTCATTCTTCACACTAAAGACGATTATAAGTGAACTAAATCAAACATCGTTATAGTTTGTCGAATGTCAGCAAAATTATTATCTACTATATTTCATTATAATTTAAATGTGACAGAGACGAGATTTTTATTTTTCATTAAAATTTTCTTTTCGCTGTTTACGAAAGAACATTTCAGTTATTTTATTTTGAAAAATGGAACGCACAGATAAGATGAGAAATATTTTTACAAGATGATGATATAAGAAAAACAAACAAGAATGAAAAAAAAGTATGCCTTCACTGTATCTAAAAAAAAAAGGAGTCAAAGTAAACAAATTCAAAATGAGGAAGAAGAAAAGAACAAAGTTTAAAAATAAAAACTTTTAGAACATATGGAATCAGATTAAACTAATCATTTAAAAGTATTATTATCCACGTTCCTTATTTTTCTGATGAATTCTTCAATCTTCAATGTCAGAATACATCTCAAAAAAGTGTGGTAGGGAATATTGCACAAGTAAAAAAATGGTTGATGTCATTAACCGGGCATGTGGCATAGATACATACATAGACCTATTGATAGGAGACACGAACTAAGATATGCCTTGGTGAATGAAACAAATCTACAATAATTTGACCAACTTTTTACTTCTCATTAACAAAAGAAAAGGATGTTGCACATAGAGAGAAATAATATAAAAATACATTGATAGAGATATAGGCTGCTTCACTATAATCAACATGAACAAGAAAAAAATATTAATTAATTAGGAATATATAATAGTAATAATAATAATAAGAGAACGAAAAAAAGAAGAGCAACATGTACACACACACACACACACACACACATTACATATGTTGTATATTAGGAACAATTGGTGGTGAAACATTGTGATGTTGCTGATATGGTTGATGTATTGAGTCTTGTTGATAAAACATCATCGGCATATCATCATTGGACATGGGTCGCCTTTGCGGTGATGATGCCTCAGATTTAATTGCATGTGACATATAGGTGGCACCATGTGGCCCATATGGGTAACCGTTCATGACAGCAGCTGCATACTGTGACGATGGTGAAGTACTTTGAGGTGGTGGTGGTAAATGAGGACTAACTGATGGTGCACTGTGATGATAACTATACATTTGAGGATATTGTGTATAGATTGCATGTTGATCAATCATTGAGCCATAATTACAATCGTAAGGATTTGCGTACATTTGTGCACGTTGTGCCGATAATTGAGCTGAAGCTAGTTGTGCAGCTGCTGCTGAACTTGCTGTGTTCCCATGATGTATCGGATACTTTTCTTTTTTTAACATATTTTTCGTTTTTCGTCTTGGACGATATTTATAATCGGGATGTTCTTTCATATGTATCGCTCTTAAACGTTTTGCTTCGTCAATAAATGGTCTTTTATCTTCTTCACTGAGTCCCTTCCATTCGGTTCCTAAACATTTTGATATAGCTGAATTATGCATTTTTGGATTTTCTTGTGCCATTTTTCGTCGTTGACCTCTTGACCATACCATAAATGCATTCATTGGTCGTTTCACTCGATCATCCATCAATTTTCCACTAACACCACCGCCCGGTTTACTTCCCTGGGAACCGGGTGATGATAAATGGTCCCTAGAATTTTGATCATTCTCATCTTTATCGCCAGCTGATGACGATAATGTACTTGAATTTGAATTTGGTCCGAGCGACGAATTGTTATTATTATTATTATTACTTTTCAAACTCGAATTACAATTATTGTTCTGCTGTGACGAAAGATGATGTAGATGATGAGACATAGGATTTGACGATGGACTATTCCAACTTGGTGGAATGCTTAATTGTAAATGAGGTGGACCATTTGATGATAAATGATGAGGCGATTGAGGACTTATACTATGATGTTGAAAATGAAGTTGATGATGGTGACCGGGTGCTAATAATGGATTAGTCGATTTTGATAATAGCATATGGGTGGCCATTGGCGATAAATTATTACTGTCCATATTGTACAATGAAACCATTTTTAGCTAGAATACAGAATAAAAGATGTTGTTGAACATAAAACAGACTTTTATAAAAAGTGTCACATACTTTCGTTGAGTAACAAAATCAAGAATAAATCAGTAGTGGATGGTGATACAATAGATGCGTACCATCAGAGATCTAAAATAAACATTATATTACTATACTACTAATACTACTAATTATTAATTATACTAATAAACAGTATTGCAATAAGAAAATGTCATACGCTAATAAATAACATCTCATTTTCAAAAATCATCTGCACAAGTTTTCTTAAAACATAAAAAGAAGACGTTTAAATGACTGAAAAACTCATGGTAATGGCGACTAACGCAGAATAATACATCTTCACTGTAAAGGCATAATTTTTAACATTATCCAGTGAATTTATTTCTCTTCTAATGTTAGCATGTACAAAAAACAAATATTTTTCAATGATTTTAAACTAAATTCATGACATAAATAACATCGAATTAATAGCTTTTGAGTTTATATCTGTTGAGTTATTCAAAGCTGACTACTTTCAGAGATAAAAAATTGTATTTAGTAAGCTTGACCTAGTAATTTAACAATTTGTTAGCTGTGAAATTATTTTGTACTATTTCACTTTATAAGATCTTTTTTTATATACTAATGAGGGCGTATCAGTGTAACACTCCGACTATTGTTGTTCAATTTATCAGCTATTTCGTGTGAGACTGAGATATTTCTTATGATTTAATAGAATGAACTATTTGTCGTATATATGTTTTGTCTCTATTGTATTCATCGTGAAGAAAACAACTTAGTAGCGGGAAAGGTATCTCTATTGTTAATAGATTAAATTAATAGATCAATCAAAAATAGTAGAAAAGAGAATGTAAATCGGACGTTAATGATTATAAAAGAACTTTTCTAGTACAAGAAAGTTAATATTACTATTATTATTATTATTTTGAAACATAATTGTACTAAATTGTTTTCTTTTTTTTTCTTTTTTTAAAAAAAGAACTCAAATACAATAGAAACATAGACACACGCACACACACACATACACACACATCTAACAATGAACTCATTCATATGTTTTGTATTTTTGTTTTGCTTTGTTTAGTGTATTGAATATAAGCGCGCGGGACGAGAGAGAAGAAATATGATAATGATTTTCATTTATATATATTATATTCATATTCATATTTTGCTATATAGTGATTATATAAATGTTATTGTTTAAAAGACCTAAAAAAAGAATTTTACTAGTGAATATGTTTATTACCTTCAGTTTGTATGTTTCTCTTTGTGTTGTTTGTTGGCGTTGTCGACAAGAAGGAAAAAAAAAGAGAATATAATAGCGACGAAATGAATTCAATACCCATACATATTTATTAAAAAATAGAAGCAAAAGAAAAGAAAATATCTTTTTCCTCTGTATTTCTTTTTTTCGCGGATGGTTTATTATTCCGTGATCGTGTTATTCTTTTTTTTTGTATGTGAATTTGAGTAATACACGTTAAATATACAGGTGCTGCATTAAGTAATAATTATAATAATAATAATAATAATTATTGTTTAACTAGTTATCTATTTCTATTGTGTAAAGTTGTCAGACAAAAAAAAAGAACAATAGATTTGTTGTTGTTCATAAAATGTGACCATAAGTATATATATATATATATATTCCAATCAAGAGAGCAAGTAGTATACAAACAGTATATTGAGGCAAAGGTAAGCTTTCTATTCACTCACTCTCTCTCCGTGCGATGAGGTCTTCTATGGAGAGAATATTTTTGATCAAGTGAGAGAAAATGGAGAGAGAAACAGAGAAAGAGAAGAATCGTTCGATATATACTATTTTCTCTTTTTTTCTTCTCTCGCTTAATGGAGCATATTCAAACAACAGCATTAGTATTGATGATGATGCGTCACAGAATGTTGGTATAGTGTATATATTTCGGTATAGTCCTAAGAAAAAAACCAGAAAGAACAAAAAATCATCGTCTCATATTGGTTAATCTAAAATTTTAGATCTATATGTTATGTTGTTGTTAATGGAAAAGCAGACAATAAAGAAAGAAGAAAAAACTTTTCTGTTTTTATTGAAACCAATAAGGCCTCAGGATAGAAGAAAAAAAGAGAGAAAGAGAGTGACGAATGAAATGTGAATGCGAGAATTTCAGCATACGTAGACATTGCGTCTAAAATCAATGTAAAAAAAAAAGAGAGACGAACTTTTTTAACGAGGGCGAAATCATCAAAATTGTTTATTATTGTACTATAAATTCTTTATAAATTACTCGCATATGCATATGTGTAAAAAGCGTGTTCAAGTTTTTTCGTAAGGGCTACGATCAACAACATAATTTATTCTCATAAAAATAAAAGAAAGTCTGCGTTTCTTTTCCGTTTTGAAAAAAGTCCTTATTAGCACACACCACCTATAGACTTAATCATATGTTCTTTTCTTTCTACTATAGGTTTTTTTCGTCTTGAAGCTGAATTTTTATTGCTTCAGCTCGTTGACTTGATAAATAAATAGAACCAATCATGGTAAAGTAGTATAGTAGTTTTTGATGATGAAAAAACAACATTTGACCGAATGGAAGAAAAAAAGTAAATAAGTTGTAAAACTGCATATCGTCTTCACTATATTCATACGACAAAGCAAATAAATATGAAGAACGGTAGAAAGAGAGAGGCATAATGCCATTACTTATATAGCAGCGCTTGAAATAATATATGTTTTTATTCATGAAATTGTATAAATGATAACAATAAGTTTTGGTAATTGAACGTCCATTTCGATTTAAATTGTACGGCTAATGCCGCACTAGTAAAACGTTTAAAACGGTAGATTTGTAACTCATACTCAACGAAAACCAGTTCATACGATGTAATTAGATATACTATGTCATTTTGATAATTTTGTTTGCTTAATGAAATTCAAATGATGCATCAATTGTTGACTTAATAATAAATTTTCTGCTCAACTCCATTCATTATGGTTCATAATATGTGTCCTTTTATTGTACTCAGGACTATTTCTTGGATCTTGTTGACACTAAAAGAATAAAGAAAAAAGAAATGGTTTTTGGAGATAGGGTGATACATCATTATTCTATTTAATTTTCTATTTTAAGCATTTTGTTGCTAACAAATGTGAAATTGTTTTGTGTATAGTGTGAATATATAAAAAACAAAATAAGCCTTTTGCGTCATGCACTGAGTTATTGTTCCGTATTGAAAAGCACATCTTGAATACTTCAGTAACTTTTAGTATAAGAAGTTTTTCAAAAATAAAAGCACTCATAAATCCTATTATTGACGACTTATCAGCATATAGAAAAATAATCGGATTATATACTTCTATGAATGTTTTGATCTTATTAGAAATAAAATAGATGTTGGTGATGTTAGATAATTTCCAGGTTTTTTTTTCTAATGCAAAACAATTAATTTAATCTTTCTGTATATATTGTATAGAACAATACAGAATAAAAAACAAGAAATTTTGATCCTTTACTTTTATTCTCAACCTCCCTTAGGTTGTCGCTTAAAACTAAGACGAGTATTTTACGGACTAATCCAAGTATTGTTAAAGAAAAAAATATGTATTTGACGCCAGTCGCGTCGAGTACTCTTAACTTATTATCTCATTCTAATTTAAAATACGCATAGTGTACCCATAATACGTCAAACATGATGATGAATAAAATTCTATTTTGTTAGACATAAAACTAGTGTTAGTGTGTATAGATAGTTCAAAGACTTGTTTGTGTGTGTGTGTGTGTATATATGTCAAAGCTAAGGTTTGTTTTCTAATGAACGAGAACATTTTAGCTTTGTACTCTATTTTAATACACTTTTCTCGAATAGTAAAACAGCATGCAATACAATTGTTTTTACAAATCATACTTCTTTTGATTCAACCGCTCATCTTGCAGAACACTTATTATTAAAAAGTTCAATTTGAATTTGAGCTGTTTGTCAATTTACTTTACAGCAAACGATTTAATTTCAAGGCTGATTCACTTGTCTTGACAAATTTCTCACGTTAAAACATATTGATCACATTGTCTTTATCAAGGCGAAGAGAAAAACGTTTTCTTTGATATTAGAAATTTATCTCTTTTTCTTTTTTTATACTATTTGAGTGACACAGTAATCGTTTAGAGGTCATGTCAAAAACATATATCTATATTTTAATTTAAAAGAATTTCTTCACATGAATAAGAACTCATCATACCTCACCATACTACTCGTGATCGTACACACATACTACATTCAATTTTAAGTAGTACTCAAGAAGAACGAATGTAGAGATAATACTTTGGGTTCACGTCATACGATCAAGAATGAGAATGGCGTCATATTTCAAAATACTTATTTTCCTTCGTGAGACGGTGTCATAAGCTGCAACTTGGTTACGTCATATTTTCCACCCTTAAAATCTTTTACCATACAGAAACAACAAGAGTTGTCAAATATGTAATTAGATATATTCACCTTTTGGAAATTGAGAGAGAAAAATTGTTCCTTCTTCTCTTTCTTCAGCTGAGAAGATTTATTTTAAAAGTGTTAAAAATGTACAAAAATGGAATGCTCACAGCTTGTTTCATCAACAAACTTTTGGGTGAAATATTTGATTTATATAGCACAGGAGAGAAGTGTTTCATCATTTTTAGTAATAAACATTGAACATATTTTAGTAGCAATCGTGCATTATACAGAAACAAGAACATGCAGACATAGTTTCTTCCATTTTTAATTGCCTCAGAGTTTCAGCTAAAACCATTACGAATTTATAAAGGTGACACTTAATCGTGTCATAATCTTAATGTAACCTATACAATCTTCAAGTTAAATAGTTGACAATTATTTTGATGAAAATATATTCTTCTTTTAAAATACACTAATTATATATCGACGATTAATCTGTCTAAAAAATGTTTCTAATGCGATCGATACATACAGAATATACGTTAAGCTATGCCTTTACGCCTACGAAAAAGATATTTAT